ACAAGAAACTAAGATTGAACAAGTTTAATCCATGTAAGGCTGAATTTGTCACTAACCTTATCTTGTGATTATGGTTTTGACAAATTCACATGGATAGGAACTCATACACTATAAAATCTAAGTGTCATAAGGTTTCTCTCCGATTCATGAAAATGATGGTGAGGAAACGCTTTCACTAAGTAGATTTTACGTAGATATCAATTGTGTTATTTGCATTTTCAAAAGTCGTTAGTGGAGCGCGTGTGGTTAACCGGCACACTAACATGGACTTGTGAGAAATGGAAAATGCCTAAGCAATTGAGACTATGATTACGGCATCCCTTTTCATAGTTCTGAAAATTGTTTAGACACACATGTGAGCTATCTAAGAAAGGGTGTATGAATCTAAATTTCAGAAGTCCAGCAGATTTCTGGAAATATGTCAGAGCTAGTGGGAGCATAAGTGTTATGCTGATAATCATCATGTTAGTGGGAGCATGATTATTACATTTAGTGTTGCAAGTTAGCAATGTTAATTATAGAAAACAAAGTTTCAATTCGTGAAGTTGCAGGGGTTGAAAAGTTGTTTTGCTATAATTAAGGGAGAGGAAATTATACTTCATTTCAATTCTAAAGCTTAGATTGAGATTTTAATCATCTTTAGTCAAGGACATATATATGAATTTTATGTTGAATGGTTCAACTTGAAGAAATTCTATATATATTGCGTTTTCAAAATTCGATTATGATTACGGCATCCCTCTTCATAGTTAAATTTTGAAAACATGGCAAATAAAAAATATTGTAGCAAAAGACTGGTCTAGTATCATGTCTTTATGTCAAACATCATGAATCGTGTCCCATATGCTTCGGATATAGGATCGATTGCATGTGCTATAATATTCATCTTTTCTAAATTTTCCAAATGCTTAAGGCATTGAGAAGGGAAAAGTCTAGAACTGGATATGACTAAAGTGATTAAGCAATTGTCGAGGACAATCTGAGGTTCGCCAAAGATTGGTTGCTCAGGGAAAGTTGGAAGTATGATGTAAGTTGTCGGAAAGGACCATATTGACATGTTCTGAAAAGAAGTAACTCTTGTTCGGAAGTGATAGTCAAAATGGGACTATGGAAATGTCTCCATAGGTGGAAGTTATTCAATCTATGTAAGATTAGAAAACCTTAATGCAAGAAGGATGTTCAAAGCAATGTACTTTGAATATGAGACTTCCGTTCCATAGAAGTTGACCTTCTTTGGAATACTCTGTAATGACTGGTGACAAGGTTTTGGTGACTTTGTGAATAATCATTACAAGAGGAACATTGCATAAAAGTTTAAAATCTAACAGATTTTTTGGTAAATGATAGGAATCGGGGATTCTCACATTTACAATAAGGATTTGGGATTGTGAAATGAGTATCATTGGAATCATGTTCAATTGATCTACATCACAATGTAAGGATCATAGACAAACATAGTGTGCATACTTGGAGTATGGCATAACTATTGTTTAGAAAAACAAAGTGTACATGCTAGGAGCATGGGACGACTGTTGTTTTTATTCAAGTCTTAAGTTGATTGTTTGAAACATTATACAATGAATAATGTGTAATCAATATGGTGATAAATAAAAGGTGGTTCTATTTATATTCAAAAGGGTTCTGAGACCATATTGGATTCGATTATTATTGTGTTTCACTTTGCATGTTTTGACTTCCAAAATAGCTAGGTTATTCTTTCCGAATGACTAAGTTATTTAAACACTCCACAGTCGTTCATATGTTGGAAGTAGGTATGAATCAAGACTGTCATGAATCGAGTTTGTAGATGGCTAAATGGGTTTAGTCATAGCAATGGTTGCTACAACATTCATGAGTGCTCATAAGTTATGAGTATTGGAATAAACCCACGCTCACTTGTATCACTTCATGGAATTTATCTCGAGTGATCGTGAGACGGTAATATCATATAAATCTTCAAACCTAGAGATATGAGTTGTTACCTATGAGTTGGTTGTGCATTGATTGCACGTAAACGCATCAGTAACTTGATGTTATAAAACGTGCCTTTGTGTACAATTCAACAAGTAGTAGAACAAGCATATGAGTCGAAGTTTATCTGTTCCTTCTAGAAATAGAAGCGATATCTGGGCCCCTCGATGATTTTGTTGTGACCTATGTACCGGCCGGTCAGAACTAAATTGATGTGTTCGATTAAGTTCTTTGTCAAACAAATCGAAAATCGGGAAACAAACTGCTGGACAATAAGTACGACGTTGTTCCATGTATTTGTCCGGCTGATATCATGAGAACAGAGGATTATATGATCACTTATCTAAAATGGCGCTTCATAGTTCAACGGAGTTTTCGAGAGCTACGATTGCTGGTTGGTTCCTGAAGTAACATACGCAAATATAGTTATTAGACTTATCCAAGTGGGAGTCTGTTGGATAAGGTGTCTAAGTCCATAACTTATTTGGTATATACTTGACCCGACCCGGCATGGTCCATTTGGGTTGCATCTCATCCAAACTATTTATGGATAATTTTATGAGAGTTATACACATATGTTTATTAATATATTATAAGTTATAATATATTAATATGAAGTTATGTTATTTAATTAGTTTAGTCTTAAATTAATTATGAATTAATTTAGAGATTAAAAGGAAGACTAATTAGATTGTGGGCTATTGTTATTATAGAGTGTGGGCTAACACTCATTTGTTAATGGGCTAGGCTTATATGGAAGTCCTTGGATGATCCATGGAGCTTTTAACCCATGGATCCTTGGAAAGGAAAATACATGGGTTATTAGGGTTTCACCATAATCATGTACACTATATAAGCATGCTTATGTTGCATGAAATGGCCCCTAAGGGGTAAGTAGTGAACTAGTGTGTGTGTGCTTGTGTGTGGCCGAAAATACAAGTGTGTATTCTCTCTCAAAGTTTTCCAAGAGTTTATGGTGTTTTGTGATTCCATTTGAGGCATTCACACTATTGGTGCTTGGCCCTCAAACTCCTTAGGAATTGAACTCATCATGAAAAAGGTATGTAATCTCTTCTAACTCTTTTATGTTGAAATGTTCCCCATACCATGTTAGATAGGTTATGAAGCTTGGAAAATTATTATTTTGCATGTATTTAGACAAACATGGATCCAAGGTTTATTAGGGTTGCATGCACACTTAGGAAGTGTTAGATTGCTCAAAACCCAACATCTATCTCTCTCTTTTCTCTCTCATCTCACTAGTCTGCTGGGAACATGGATTGGCGCACCCCCTTAGTGTACGCTAGGGGGAGGTGTTCAGTGAATGTCATGGGCTTGACCGCCCACTCTTTATAGTCTTAAGGCCTTCTAAATACGTCCGAAGCTAGGAACCGATTCTAACTTCCCAATCAGTGTGTTTGTTTTGGTTGTTTACCTTCTTATTTGGTCCATACTTTGGACCGATTCCTTCACTTTCCTTTGACCGAATCTTCAGTTCAAAGCCATCAGACCCAATGACATCGTCTTCTTCTCCAAAACACCCCCATTGTGATCGAAGTCTCTCTTCCTTCTCCATCCCATGTCAACACCCCTCTCCTTTCTAGTTCCATAGTGGATTGAGACGTAGTAGAGGTTTATACTAAAAGACAATACCTCTTCTTATTAGGTTAGCTTCTTGTTGCAATTTAGTAAGAAATTCCATGACTCTCCGCTTTAATTTAGTTTCATCTCTTGCCCAGTTAACTTGTTCGATGTGTCAGAATCATTTTCTAATGAAAACAATATAAATGTGTTCTATTGACAACTTGATAAACACAGAACCCAATTTAGTTTCATCTCTTGCTCAATTTGTTTCTTTAAACATGATGTAGCAACTAACATGGCAATTGTTCGATTTTTGTGTCATTGGGGTAAGTATATGAGGTTATATTCTTTGTTTGTGGATGTTATTGACAATAACCATGAGGAACTTTGTAATTGATGTCATGGGACATGCTAGAGAATCTTGTATACTTCCTTTTTTAATTAGAGCTTTCCATGTGTGTGTATGTTATGGTGTCCCTACATGTATTACAAACAAGGATTTGTGAGCCTTTCATTTCATTAGCTGTTTTATAATGTAGTCTAAATATGAGAAAAACAATAAAATGTAGAGTGAAATCTTTATGTATATATGAATGTACATGAATCAAGTACAATGAAAAAAGTATATCATTGTTGGTTACCATTTTTATGTTTCCAAATGATCGGTTAAAGTCTTGAAGATGTATTTTCAATTGGTAAGTAGAAATCAGTGCAGAATAAGGTTTAAAAACATGTTGAAATTCAATTGGTCAATGTTGTTAATCATAAGACACGAGCAATGATGTTGCCATTTGACTTTAGGCTAAATAGCTTAAGAAGTTATGATGATTCTTTCTTAATTTTCTTTTGATTTTACATAACTATGTCTTGAGTTTTTACTTTTTAGGCAATAGTAGTACAAGGTTGGAATTACTTTGTTCCACGAACACTACTAGAAAAAAGGCCTTTTATGACGCTCATTGCGCGTCGTAAAACGCTCAGACGACACGCAAATGCGCGTCAAGGAAGGCCTTGTCATAACGAGAGACGACGCGCATTTATGACACGCAATTACGACGCTCATTTATGACACGCAATGTGTATCAAGGAAGGCCATGTCATAAAGGAAGACGACACGCATTCGCGTGTCGTAACCTTACGACGCGCGTGTTAATGACACGCAATGCGTATCATTAAACCCGCTGTCAAGAAAGGCCATGTCATAAATGAAGATGACACACATTTTTGCGTATCATAATTGTAAATTTAAAAAAAATATTATAGATTTACTAATTTTCAAATTAAATTTGCATTTCATGTCTCATAATAGAAAATAAAATATCATATACAAAAAATACAATCCATTGCACAAAAGTTAATGTCATACAAATACTCATTCTAATATTAGACAAATGTAATACATCAAATGTGAAAGAGATGAAAGTCTTCAACAAATAAAAGTTGAGCTAAAAAAACTTGTTGCCCACCTTCACAACATCTCGAGCTACTTTGCTTGTCACTATGCACATCAACAAGACCTACAAATTTGAATAATGCAACCATTAGATTCACATAAACCAACAAATCCCAATATGTAAGCATGAAATTTATGCATCTATGTTAAAGGGGTAAAATGGTCATTTACAGTTCATTCAGAGCAAAAAAGGAACAACTTTTTTCATTTACTACATGCTTCACCATACAGACCTCATTTATCTCAACAAATGCATCATACTAATTATGGCATCGTTAGATAAGTTAAGTGACTAAGTTAGGTAGGTAACTAATGAGACATAAAACTGATGAAATGACTAAAATGCCCTTATAGTAAGCATCAGAAGAAGATTAAGTATGACTTTATAAATTGGACCAATATCAATACTTGAACATTGATCAAAAACTTACATGAGAGCAAGTCCCATTTTCTCCACAACACCTCTGAGATTTTTCACCATTTTCAAGCTCAATTGGATAGTGTTTCAAGGATCCCGAGCCTCCTACTTTTTGCTCAAAGTTTCCAAGATTCTTAGCAAATGTTGGACCTAAAATGAAAGAAAAAATGGTTTTCTGAATATATACTTCAATTACTAAGAAAATAGTAAGTCAAAAAACTACAGATGTTCAAAATAAGATGCTAGTAAAGCTTTGCCATAATGGTAAGATGTTATGATATACAGAGCAAATGTAAAATTCAATAAGATGCACATAATAATATTCTTATGATCTTATAAGATTTCCAAATAAGATACTAGTAAAGCTTTTGCACAATGATATAAGATGTCATGACATACAGATCAACTTTCAAGATTCAATAAAATGCACATAATAATATGTTTTAGGGTAAATTATAAAAAAATGGTCCCTGAGCTTTCTGATTTTCCCATTTTTAGATCAAAATTGAAACATTTGTCAGCTTTTGTTCTTATTTTTGTTCCAATTTCAGATTCTTTTCTCTTTCTAATTCATATTTGTGTTTCCATTCTATAGCCTCAGGTTGAGCAGCAGCTTTAGCTTCTGCTGCTTCTCTTAAAACCTTGCCAACTGCTTATGAGTGACATAAACCACAAGGATCAGACACAAACCTTATTATTAACAAAAGCATCCTACTATTATTTCACCCGAATGAAAGCAATCATACTTCTCATGGCTATCGAAAACTCCACAAGTTGATCATCAATCCCATCAACAAGTGGAAGTGGCTGATCATCAATTTCTTTTACAACTTTCTCTAAGTTTCCAAGAGGAAGGAAATCATTTACAAAATTCTCCTATGCAAGATTATGTGCATTCACCTGTTCAAAATCGAATGAAAATTCGAAAGAGAGTAAGAATAAAATAGAGAGAAGGGCTCTACAAATGTTAAAAGGCAACACAGATACTTGAGCCTATCATAGCATTACAGAAATATTCAGCCATATTTTGAACTTAATGGTTCAAGACATATTATTGAAACATTCAGCCATCTTTTGAACTTAATACTCAACTTCTATTTATACCATTTCATGTTACTTTTCTCCTTCTAGAGACATCAGACATGTCGTTCTGCTTAACTCTAGTATTGTCATTTGCACTTTCATGTTGATGTTAAAGCGAGTCACAGATACTTGAGCCTATCATAGCATTACAGAAATAATTACCTCAACCCTAAGTCTATCATCGGAGCATAGAGATCCTGTAGCACCGGATCTCCCATCCTTGCCTTGTGGCTAATCACCATCTTCGGCTAAATAGCATATATACAATTTATTAACACGAATTCAGCGATGAAATAGACATTGCATACACAACAATCAATTCTGGAAAACCATCACTAATGCAACAAATAAGTTATAAATCAAAAACATTAAGTCGTTCTGAGTTACGATTGCGTAATTCACTGTGACAAGAGCAATTAAGTCAAACTGCATACTGACCTGAACAATTGATTAATAAAGAATTAGAAACTTGGCAGTACCTTTTTGTGGTTATTGTGGGATTTCTTACCTGTACCCATCTTGTAAGGTCTATGACACAGGGCCAATAACCAATTCAAACTTTTCCTTTGTTAAAACTACACAAACTACATCACCTAAAGCAACAATATGTAAAGAATCAACGTATTCACCAAGAAGTGTCCATTCTCCAAAATACCCCCCTTCACTGAACTTTGCTATGTCATAACCACATCATGAGAAGCACCATCTGTCATAACCACACAAATATTTTCAACTGGGAATCCAATCAAAAAACCCCTGCACATATACAATTAAAAGAAGTTGAGTTTTTTTTATAAAAAGATATAAAGGTAATAAAACAAACAGAAGTATGATTAATAATAATAATAATAATAATAATAATAATAATAATAATAATAATAATAATAATAATAATAATAATAACACTTACGAATTGGTTGCTTCCATGAAACATTTCTCAATGTGAGGGATAAAATTGGAGGGTATAGCCTGTCCTATTATCATGTTCTCAATTTCAAATTTCTTCTCTGATTCAGCTGGCAGTGGCTTTTTATACCTATCATTTTTTAAAGCAAAATATTAAGAAAAAACAGATCAAGGATTGATGATGCTACATAGATTTTTAAGTCGTTAATTGTTGATGCGATAACGGATTGTAATTTCAGATTTTTTTTTTGTCATTGCATCCAAAAGAAAAGTAATCAGAAAGAAATTGCATTAGACATATGTAGAGGTAAGCAATCAGAAAGAAAAGTATAATTGAGTTGCTTTTAACAGTGTAGACAAATTACTTTGAAAGCTATTCACATGAAATACATCAGCGTCTTTCTAATGATCTGATGTAAAAAATTACTTATTGTGAGCAACTATATCTTTTATACATATCACATATCAGATGCAATTTTTTTAAGGAGAGATCTTAATTTCGTTAGGCTTACTTGTTGAACATGGAAATGAAAGAGATGAAGAATACGGGGGCAAAATGGTCATGTTCAGAAATTTAACATATTTGTTGCTATTTTTTTTAAAGAGAATTTGTTGCTAAAGTTGACAATTTATGGACTAAAAACGTTATGAAACCATGAAATGAGTACCAAAATATATACATACATATGGTGTCATAAATATAATGGGTTTGGTATATGGGTCGCAAAGCCCATATGTTAAACTTGTGAAAATGACCATTTTGCCAATTGCCAAATGGGAATAAAGAAATATTTAACTGTAGCAAAAAACTCCCTGACTCCAAGAAGAGGGAGTAAGCAGATTACATTTCAAAAACCATGAATACATCCACATATCAATCGTCAACACATAACCATTACAAAAATGAGCTAATTAGAAAGAGAAATGTCATCATAAACTTAGACTAATGAAACAGGAAAGGGTCAAGGGAGGCAAACGAAATATGAAAATTATTTAGAGAAATATTTCACTTAAAAGATGGGAGACAAAATTCACATCTAGAGAACAACTAGAATCAAGTCCTAGTTTACTTGTTGTTGTGCATAGTGCTTAACCTCATGGATTGTAAGCCAAGCAAATAATATTCACTTGAAGAATGAAGTAAATTATAAGATACTGGTCATCCTGGTCAACTTGAGATATAATGGCATGCTTAAATATATTTAAATATATTTATGAAGCCTTCAGTATTCTATCTGGGAAAGAAAAAAGATCAACATATGACCATAAGAAAAATGACGAGCCAGCTCAGCCTTTCTGAAGGACTAACACGTCAAGGGAGTGGAATCATTGGCTCATTTGGCCAACCTGAATAGCTTCGTTATGTAATTGCTATAGTTCGTTGATAAGATTTACAACCTTATTTTTGTTTTATAAATTAGGGAAAATTTCAAGAGATAGAAATATACTTCACTTGTTTGTAGTGGTGATAGAACTCCAAAGCAAAAGGTGAAGTTAAAGGACTTGTTAGATGCAACACGTAATTTGTGTATCATATTAGTTTTGACCTTGTATTTTTCAAGCATCCACTGCAAGGTTATAACTCATTTCCAAGGTTATAACTCCTTTTATTTGGTTGCTTGATTTCCGCATTGTCAATGATCACATCTAAACAGGTGATTCTTCAGAGGCTAACTCATGTCTCATATGTGATTCTTCAGGTGCAGGAGCTTGTTTGCTTATCCAGACAAAAATAGTCTCTCCCTTTTCTCTGTAGTGGATATTTGAACATGTAATTCTTCAGGAGCAGGAACTTGCTTGCTTTCTGCATAGTCAATGATCACATCTAACAAGTTCAACAACTGAAACACAACAAATCAAACAACAATCAGGGAAGAAGAAAAAAATACATTTAAGATTTTACCAAAAGAAACGAATGTGCAAATTCTACCTGCTCAAGATGCGCAATACTTCTCAAATAAAGGGGTTGATTCAAGAGGCTCAACAACATTGTTATGTCCAAGAAAACACAAGAGTCACTCATTGGGGCATTTTATCAAACAGTTGGTGTTCACCAAAAAGTATCCCTAAACAGGCAGTGATTAATTATTCAAATATTACCAGGTTATTGTCTTATGTAGTAACAAAGCAACCAAAAATAACAAGCGGTAGCCTGGGTTGTAGGAGCGTAGAGAAATAAAACATCAATTGTGTTTAGAAGATTTAAAAGATTTACAAACAGCGTAAAAGATTTACTGATGACTATACTAAGATTTGATTACTCACCTGCGTATATAAATGCATCATGGTTCCATCATTGGCAGTGGATAACAAGTTCACGACCTCAACCACTCTGTAGTCACGAAACCTTGTGGTGAGATTCTTGAGGGTTTCAACGACCCTTGTAGGCTCGAGAGTAAGCAATTCGCAGGGTTGTGATACCATACCGGGAATCCATAGCCAAGCTGGGTGAAGGAACAAGACGATATAAAAAGATAGCTCTAAAATAGGAGATAGAAACCTAAATTTCCTTTTAGGTTTTGAAAACATGAATTCAAGGAGAGGAGCAAACCTTGTTGGGCTTAGAATCCCTAGTTCTTCATCATAGAGCCCTCAATCGTAATGATTTTGTAAGGTCTATTTTCGGGAGCAAAAAAACCTCAATCTCAATAGAAAAAATGAGAGAATCGGGATTTTAGAAGAAAATAAAAGACCTCCCGCTAACTACAAAGAAGGAAGACGCACGTTAGGGTTCTTCGTCTGTGTGTTGTTTTGATTTATCTATGGGAAATTAGAAACAAACGAGAATCAAGCTTTGCATTCCATACTTCATAACGATAACTCATGGAATTCACAGAGCTTCATTAAGCTAAACCATGGAAAAGAGAAAAGTAGAAACGAAGGAAGATGAGAAAAAGGCGGAGTTTTCTAATTTTTGAGGATTTCGTTCCCGCTTAGCTATCAAAGGTTGGAAAACGCGCGTTCCATTAAAATTTATAAAGCGACATCCTTAGACAACACACATTTTAGTATAGGTGCCCTCCGTGCTTTTTAGTTAGACACTAATTTAAGGGCACGCAATAATGCGCGACCTAAATCCTTAAATTTTTTTAAGAGATGACACTCTTTTAATGTCACACGCTTTTGCGTAACATAAATCAAGGAGTGTCGTGGTTTGCACGTCGTAATAGGGTCTTTTTCTTGTAGTGGAACTTCACATATGCCAAGTATTTTGTATTCATGAGAAACATTTATAATTAATTTTTTAATCCTCTATCTTAATTTTACATAATGGGGTTGTGTGTGCACTAATCGAAATTCATAAATAAATTATTATAAAAAATATTGTTTTAGGGTAATACAATCATTGTGTCTGGTCAATCACAAGCAAAATCAAACAACAAGTTTCAATAGAAATTAACCCAGTCAGAATTTCTAATACAATCAGCTTCTAATCTAGCTTCTAATATAGTCAGGTTTAATTAAGCTAACAACTATCAAACTCTTAATATTTGTCGGATGTTAGAAGAATGTATAAATGCCGGTGAGGAATGTGCCGACCATATTCCATTTTTGCCCACTCGCTTGTGCGGTAAGAGAAAAGATTTTCCAGATGTGTAGTTTACCTCATCAAGTGTTCAACAATGTTGGGGACTTGCTCACTTTCATCGCTAACCGAGGTCGAGGCACAAGATGGATATAACGACTACTAAGGATTTGCTATGGGTTATCATGGAGCTTATGGAAGTACCGAAACGATCGAATTTTCAAACAAGTTTTCATTTGTCCCAACAAAGGAGTGGATTACACTTTTGGATCAGAAGCAAGGGTAACAGTGGTTTAGGTGGGATGAATGGATCTCCTCTTCATTTTATGGTATTTGAAATTGTAATCGTAATAGTACTTTAAAGCTTTTATGTTTTCTATTGTTTGTTGGTTCCCTTTCTAGTCATTTTTCAGTTGGGTTCCTATGGTTCCCTTTCTAGTCACTTTATGGTTGGTTCCTCTTTAGTAATTTGCCGTTAAAAAAATACTGAGCCGAATATCCATTATTATTTCAGTAAAATAATGATTAATTTTTGTTAAAGGAAAGACACGGACTCGTTATAATTTTGCCAAATGTCAATCTCTAATATGTTTTGACACTTGTTATTTGTGATATTTTTTAAACAAATAATATTCACATGTCAATTTATGTTTTTTTTTTTAATTTTTAAAATTAAAAAGTCATATTAATACTTATACTTTTATATATATATATATATATATATATATATATATATATATATAAACTATTAAATGAAATAAATATTACACTAAGTCGCAATTAATATATTTCTTATTTTTAAATTTCATTCCTTATCTCAAAAATTTATTTTAAAAAATAATTATTATTTTATATTCTAATATATATTTTTTTTAATAATTCCGTATAATATATAAGTTTTACACCTAATTAAAAATAATATAAAAATAATATTTAAAAAGAATAATAAAATTAGTAACTGAGGCGTGTTACTTGTATTAGCTTAAGATGCAGCAAGCGTGTAGACCAAAATCCAATCCCACGAGGCCACGTGACCATAATTAGTAGCCAGCAGAATGAGCCCGTGCCGGTCTACACATCACCGACACGACACCAACATCTTTCCTTTTTTAATTTCATTAAATAATTAACCTATAACATTTAATTTAAAAAACCAATAATTTACACATTACATACCGCCTTACTAATTTCTCAAATAATTTTCTAAAAATATGTTTATTAATTATATAAATATAAATTAAGCAAAAACAATTGTTCTTGTCGGTCAGTCGGTCCCCTCTAGCTTTTGTTACTTGTAATCGATCCATTATCCATAGCGAGATGTCACAAATTATATAAAAGATTAACATATAGTATTTACCTAAATGTCGGATCCTCCATCAAGTGAGGAAATGTATTTCTTTTTGGAAACAAACTTCATGAGACTTATACTTTCCTTAAATTATACTATATATTTTCTAATGATGCATTTGAACTTTGAACAGAATAAGATATTGACTATTGAATTATATTTCATTATGGTTTTTATCAAGATTATAAAAATCGTTCGACGATAGCTCAACAGTCGAATGGTGCTAAGGGATTAATCGGTATTGATGGGGATTAATCGAGAATCATAGATTATTAATAAAATATTAAACTTAATCGAAGATTGATATATTTTAAGAAAAATAAGTACTTCAAAATTAGAAAATAAAAGAATTTGTAAGTTTTAAAATTTGAAAATACGAAAATATGAATATTTTGGTATAATACTTGTAATTTTGGAGTAAAACAAAACAATTTTATGAATCTTTTTTGATTTTTTTTTACTTTTGTTGACCGATTAATTCCACAAACACCGATTAATCCTTAATTTTCGTCAAACACACTAATCCTAATTGGTTGGAGAACATTAAAAGATTAATCCACGATTAATCTACAATTAATTCCAATTTCTTTAACCAAGATTTTTATTTAATGTTGGTTGATTTAGAAGAAGTCTTTTTTGTTTTGAACCATTTTACAAAACAAAATCTTATTTTTATTCTAAAATTTCCGTCATCTTAGAGCTAGTCTTATTACAGGAAAGAAAATGTGGTCATAAAATTCAATCATTTTTCAATCTTATGGGAAAAATTAGTAGGGTGATTCCCTAAAGAAAATTATTTATTTGTTGTCTTTTCGTTACATGTTTTAGGGGATGTTTGGATAGGAAAAAAGAGGTACTTATTGTTTATTCCTACAATAAGCTAATTTTAGTGTTTGTATAAAATCCAGCTTATTAAACTAAATAAGCTAATTTTAATAAACATCTATTCTCATGCTTATTGCTTATTGCTTATTCCCACCACAAATAAGTTATAAGCAATAAGCTAAAAGCTAATCAAAACACCCCCTTAGTACTATCTCCAACCCACCCCCATACTCCATTTCTTCCCCCATTCTTCGCCAATTCTACCCCATTTCCACCTCCATTTTTGGAGATATGAATAGTATTCCCCCATATATGGGGATGGGAGAATACTATTCATATCTCCAAAATTGAAGGTGAAATTTGGTTGTCAATTTTAGTCCTTCTCATTTTTATTTTATACATTTTTAGGTTATTTTATCTACTAATTATAATTTAAATGCAATATTTAATATTTATAATATCATATTGTATACTAATTTATATTAATTAATTATAAATATAAAGTTTAATTAATAGAGGTGTGTATTTGATAATATATATAAGTTATAAAAATGAAATAATCCAAAAATATATTTTTTGGGGTAAAAAATGGGGTAGAAAATGGAGAAGGGTTGGAGATGAAACACTGTTTATTCTATTTTTTACTTCATTTATAAGAGAAAAAATGAAGATGGGTTGGAAATGGTCTAAAAGAAAAGATTGTTACTCTCAAAGATATAATTGGTGTACGCTGTTCAAAGTACATTACCGAAAACAAAATAATATAAAATGTTATCTTAAAGTGTCTAAGGAAAAAAGAGGGGGAAAGAACGAAATTGTCAAAATGATTAAAGTGTCTTTCAAACAACGACAAAACGCATATATGTATGTGGCGGTGTGTATATTATTTTTAATATTATTTTTAAAATGTGAAACTGACATTTTGTTGTAAAATGATTTGTTCATATTTTTAAGCGATATTCTTTCATGCAATACAAAATGTATTAATACAATTTATTATTATATAAACTAATAAAAGTGATAATTATTATATGAAGGAATTGAAAAGTTATTCCTAAATTTAGACCTACACAAAAAGACCGGTCTAGGACCGGACCCAAAAAAGACCGAGACCGTACTGTTCTAAAACGAGACCGGACAGGAATAAAACCGATCCTAAAAAAAACTAGACCAAAAAAAGACTGGTCCGAGACCGTCCCGGACCGTTCGAAAAAAGACGGGACCATTCCAAGATCGGTTCTAAAAAAGACCGTACCGGTCTGAGACCAAACGAGACCGGTCTGGAAAAAAATATCGGTAACCAAATTTTATAAATATATAGTTTTTGTGTTAATTATACAATTTTTAATCATAAACTATCTAATTTTTTTCATTTTTTTCTTTTATTAAATTTAAATTATCATTTTTAATAAATCTTAATTTATCATTTTGACGATAATCTCATATTTGTTGATAGAAAAAACTCGAAACCAAAACAAAAGAATCGAAAAATGCCGGAATCAAACAAACAAAAAAAACCCGTCAAACCGAAAAGGATGCACAGAAAGACTAAGAGACGAGACCGAAAAAGACCGGTCCGAAAAAAGACCGGATCGTTCCAAAACCGACCTTAGAAACACCAGAACGTTTCAAGACCAAGCTAAGACTGGTCTGGAACCACCAACGTACATCTCTACCTAAAATAATAATATTTGAAGATGATATGCATGATGCACCTGCATAACCATAATTTTATTTTGAGATAACGATAATTTGGTGTTTTTAGGATAATAATAATAAATCATGTGTTGTGTATGTATTTTGTATTTTTTTAAACGGTAAACTAAC